CATATGAATTGACACATTAGGCTGTAAGCATGGCAGGTCCATATTTGTTCATTTCTTGAATTAAAACCTTTGCCCTCCCCACAAATGTTAAGATCAAAAGTCCTGGGTTTGCTTAACTTAATATTTAGAAAGTATGATGTGTGATTTTGGACATGGGTTTAGTTTTATCCATAATGTGTCGCACAGAACATTTAAAGTCATGACAGTTTCCTTATTTATTGCATAAAAATCATCTTGGATTTAGGCTTATCTTTAGATCCATGGGACTACTTAGCAAAATTTCCCCTGAACAAATTTCAGTTTGAGTGAATGAGCTGGGATGCTTCACTCCAGAGCAGAAAATCTGGAAAATGTTTTCTTTACCTCTCCCCATACTTGCATCCGAGTCAACAATTAAAAATGAAATTTAGAGATGAGATCACCTCCCTAACAGTTCTCAGTCATGAAGCTATCTCCTTCTGTGATTTTTAGAGAATATTTATTTAATTATTAAAAGTTTTGAAAAAGCAGGGTCTTAAGAGAGATCTATTCACTGAAAAAGTAATCAATTGCAGAAGTTTCCAGTTTCACCTCCAGCTGCCATGACTGTCACATGCACATCAACAATATTGTGAAATTGCCTCCCTTTGCACACTCCTTCCTAAAGACCTGGTTTTCTCTCTTAAAAGCCCCGAGTGTATATCTCCATAAAATCTGATGAAGAAGGAAAAAACAAACCCCAAGCATACCCTAAACCTGCCTGGACTGGTAGTACTGATCCTTTCACCAACTCATGTGTAGCTGCGCCTTTTTTTTTTTCCCTTTAAAAATATCTCAAAACAATGTGAATGACATTGTGGGCATTGATAAATGCTCTTGAAAAATAAACACCCCGTGGCAGTTCAGTCTCTAGTGATAGCTCAGGTGCTTTCCAGACAACAGAAGCTACAAGGCAAACAACACAAGCTGGCACGGAAGAGGTCGCAGGAAGGTTCAGCCAGTGTGAGCTCGAGGTTCCCAGGGGCCAGGAAGGTGAGGACGTGTTGGCAGGCTGGGAAGGCTGTGCCTCCAGCACTGTGCCACAAATCACTCTCTGAAGGATGCTGGCTCCAGCAGTTCAAGTAAACGTGCAGTCCTGCATCACACCTGGCTGCTACTTAACACCTCAGTCCTGCACAGGAACCTGAGCTACTCCTGGGAGATTAGAGGTTGTCTCACATCTGTATCAACAAAAGGAACACTTTGCTTTGTGAGGTCCCAGCAAAAGCTCTCAGCAGATACCTGTGCTGATAACAGTGGTTTTTTTTTTACCACTGGCAGTTTTTAACCACCCTGTTATCAGCTGCTGCATGATGCTAAGTACAGGTGATACTCTTCCAGAGCTTGCAGTTTGGTCCTGTCATGCAAACAGCCCATTCTGAGATAAAACAATAAAAAGAGATCAGAAATAAGACTCTGGTTATTGCAACAGGACCACAGCCATTTGGTTTTATTAGTGCTGTCATTAAAGATGACTGCTGGCACGGACACAGGCTTGTTAATACTTTTCAGTGTGAGCAAATACTTAGTTTTTTGTTGTTGTGTGTATCTATGGAGTAAAAAAATTAGTTTAATCTGTTTTCTAGATAGTGTTCCTGGTATACCTCAATTTTAAGCTTTATAAGTGTTAGAAACACACAGCCACAGTTCCTCAGAAAGACTAATTTAGAGCACCTTTGCTTCACAGTCCCTAAGGCTTCACCAACAAAATGTGTGTGTGTGTGCTGGCAGCTTCTTAGCACTGAATGTGCAGATAACACTTCAGCACATAATGCAGCTGTGTCTAAATTACATTCTATACAGATCAATTAATATAACACAAGTTTATTTTAGTGGAACTATATAGTGGAACTATAAACAGATGATCAAGTGATGCAACAGTTTTTATTACTTATTTTTATTTAAAAAGGAATAATCTCCAAAAAGTTGACTAGAGTAGAGTCAGGAAAATATCCAGAAACATAAAACCAGCTCAACAAATCTGCAGTTTAGTAATTCAATACCAGATGGTTCATATACTGGGATCACTGTGAATATTTAGAGACTGTTTACTCGATATATACAGACCACAAATGCAGTTACAGTCTAAAACTGATTGCAAAAACAGAGAAAGGGGAAAGAGACAAGATCCACCTACCTCACTGGCATCCTTAGCCAGTCTCACATTATTAGTCACTGAAACTAAGAAATTTTTTAGCTCCTAAGCTATTTTTTATGGATATATGATTTGAAGAGGACACAAATTTTGCTGCCACTGTGACACAGCTTAAGCAACACATTCTTCAAGGCCATGCCTGTGTTTGTCCTCAGTATTTGTGCATTTGCCAATGTGAGTCCCCACTAAATTATGCAAAGTGTGGTAAAAAAAATCTTCTTATCTCTGGAAGAGGAAGGATGGGAGGAATATTGGTGCTCTGTGTATCTAATTGGTACTACCTATAGCACTGATGAAAGTAAAATGAGTTAAAATGTGCTGGGAGTTAAACTGCATTTACAAATTAGCTCAGCTAATGTGAATCTTACAGAGGAATAATGCTTATTTTGACTTTTCAATATATTTTAGTTTAAACAGATTCCTAATCAAATTAAGCTATCTTAGAAAGACTTTAATTGTACTGATGGGATTGAGCTAGAGAGCCTTTAGCAGGGGAGCAGAAGCTCTCTGAGGAGACACAGAGCTATGCTGAGTCATTTTCACAAATGGATGGCAAACATATTCTTGCAGGATGAAAAAGGTAAGGTTAAGATAACTTCTCCTGCACAAAAAGAAAGCACTAAAGGAAATGAATAAAAGTTAAGTAGAGTTGCCTAATAAGGAACAGCACAGTACCTGTTTGCAGAGAAGACAGCGCATGGCTGTGCTGTGGCAAATGTTCGCTGAACACTGCACGTTACAAAGATCTCAGAACTCAAACTACTCATGAATTACTTCTTGGTGCTGGGCATACTCTTGGAAAGCAACAGTCAGTCAGGGTGGACAGCAGTCCCATTGCCCAGAATGTGAGACCAGAATTTGGAATTCAATTTCCTCCTGGCTGTATCTGCCTGTCTACTACAAATTCTGCAAGAAGAGCCAATAGATAGGGATTTCTATCAACCATATAATGTAAGGTGGAATTATCTAAATTGGCAGATTGTTTCATTTGAAACCTTTTAGTTTAGAAAAAAAGGATATTAGATTTTTCACTGTCAAATCTGTTACATGTGTGACTAATAAAGACCAACAAGATGATCCAAGAATTTACAATTTAAATAGCTAAGACTAATCTTAAGAAGATTTATGAGAAAGCTGATTTGGAGTGCTATATTCTATAAATTAATAGTGACAGATTTTTATGGGTAGTACACTTAGGAAATGACTACAAAATAAAACCAGGAGGTTGTTATAGTCAAAGTTAAGCACTATAATTCAAACAAATGATTCTGTTATTTACTGGCAACCATATGTTCACATAATACAACCTATATAAGTATTTTTATTTTAGTATGTAATACTTGGCAAGTACCTTCTTTATAAAGAGGCTCATAAGGTCAAGGCTGAAGAGTAATAACATGTTACCATTGCTCTGCACTGAATAGGTAAATAGTTTTGATGATACACTGTACAATTTGTAGACAGACATTATTGCCAAATTTTGTATCAAATATACCAGTTTTTACATTAAACATACTTTTCCTATAAAAGACACGGATAAAAATTTGCATATCAGAAAACTAAGCAAGGAAAAGGCCTCAGTTAATTAGATTTTATAGTTTATATACCAAATCCAGCTATGTAACCATTGAAAATGAGGTCTTAACCTTTTGAGTTACAGGTGCTTAGCATTTCAGAAAACCAGTTTAACTTTCCATAAAAGAATCATAATGTGGAACTTTTCCATTATTAGTATATTTAACATTTTACAGAGCAACTATAGAAATGCGATTGTACCTGAAATAGCCTGACAGCCACAGATACTGCTGAATTTGTTTTGAAGAAAAAGATTGTATAATCCTTGTTTACAGAACTTTTATATTAGAATAGTGCAATAGAATGGCAATGTCAAAATAACATAAAAATCAGACATTGTACTTTGATTTTTCCATAGTATTAACTCAAAATAACAATTTTTTGGTACAGCATTTTCTTACTCTGAGGGAACTCTGAGGAGAGCACATAGTTTGGAAGGTGTGAGTTATGAGCTGCCTTTAAATTACTTGATAACATTACTCTCTGTCATGATCCTTCATTTTGCTGGTACTTGGAAATCTTTAAAGGAGTTTGTACATTTACAGATGAACAGGTGCTATGCAATGTACTTTACATATAAACTTCACTTTTTATCTGCTAAAAACAAATCTACAGATTAAAGAGAAATTTAACATGGAACACATTTGTATGCATTTTGCAAGCACACCTAAAGCATTTCATATTATGTTCCCTTTCAACAGATTTTAGCATTTGAATGATGTGCTGTCTTAATGCATTTAACTCGGGGTCAGTAACTGGTTTCAGCCTAGGTGTAAGGTAGACACATTTTGAGATTCAATTAAAGGCATTGAAATAAAGCAGTACCTTAACTACACATCTGAGCATAATTACTGAGTTTCACTTACTTTTGAGAACTCAGTTTGGAAGTGCAAGTTTACGCCAGCAGGTGTGAGTTGAGCATCATAGGCAACCTTATCCTTTTACCAAAGAAATGCATTTAGCAATGGTTGTGAAGATGGGACAACATGGCCCTTCAGGTATGTGCAGAGGCGCTCAGACTACAGGAGCCAACAGGATTCCTGCATCTGCTCTGGGGCACAGCTCCTGCTGACTGCACGAGACCCACCTCAGGCACACTCACCCATACTGAGTGCACATCTTTTAACTGCACTGCAACATGACCAGTCTTGCTTGAAGGCTAGAAAATTCACTCCCTCCCAGTGAATATTGATTCCTTCAGCTTTTAGTTCCAAAGGTCTTCAACAAACAAAAGTGACAAATAAACAAAAAATTACTTATATAAGGGAACTACTTTATTTCAAAACCTAAAGATTTCACAAGATGAACTCTTGCATAAGTACTAAAAATATAGAAATAGTTCCTCTGTATTTATAAGTATGTAACTTGCGGTTTTTTTTTTAATTTCCTTCACAGCTTATTATTTTTGTTGAATCCAAGCTAGGCATGTTTCTGTACAACCATATGGAAGCTCTTGAGTTGGCTCACGTCTGAAAAATGTAGTTTTCCATAGGACATATCGTATACTGAGTGATTGAATCTAAAATAAATAAAAAAACCCCAGGATTATTTAAAATAAAATGCAAAAGAAACAGATGATAAAGCAACAATGTACTTCAGAGCAGTTTCTGATATAAAGCAGTTTGTTGAAGCTGAGAACCCAGATAAATGCAAACAGTGAAATGATAATAATGCAGACACTTACCATTTACTTAAGTTTTTAAAAGGTGCTGCATTATTGACCTATATGCTTTTTGTTCCAGTCAACCTTGAGTGAATTAATTGGCAGCTGATATTAATAGCAGAAAGCAGATAGCCACACACCAACTGAATTGCAACAGTGAAGTCTGAAAGATTAGAAACAACTTCAGATATGATTTACTTGATAAAGACAGCAACTTATAGGTGACACTGTTCATACTATCACGCACACAGTTGCTGAGAAAGGGGCAGAGCTTCAAAGCTCTGCATCATTCCTTTGAAGCATCATATAGAAATACTTTTTTCTGAGATTTGATGATTCCTCAAAATGAATTAAAACCCATTAACTGGGGAGTGACCATGCCTCATGATCAGAAATCACACTGCAAAAACAGAGAAATCCGTAAACAGCACAAAAAATTCCGAGTCCTTCTTTGTTAGCAGCTGGATATGCAATTCCTTCAGTCCACTGATGGGCTGAGGGTGGCCTGTCCAGCTGCAGGGAGCTCATGAGATCATTGACCTGGGATAAGGCAGACCTCCATGAGACCAATAGAAGACTGGGACATATGAATCCCACACCACTTAAGATCATTACATTTGTCCATCTGGTGCACTGCTACTGGAAACTTTTGTGTTTAATTTACTCTTATTTTCAGGCTTGCACAAACCTCTGGTTTCATCATCTGCTCACTTTTTTTTTTGCACACTTGCTCTCTAAGTTTTGGAAGCTGGAGAAATGTATAACAAACAATGCCACCTTTTTAAAGCCTCTCGTGAAGCTTCACAATTTTATTTTATCCTTTAAGTAAGTATGATATAAAATGTGCATTTAGATGGGTATTTTTCCCTTATGGCTCACTTTTCCTTTTTTCTTTAATGTTATTTTCAGTCATGTTTAAAGTCATTATGATCCGACAGCATTAGGGGTCAAGAGATTAGGACTTGCTTGGCTACTCTCATATAAGATCAAGTCCTGTAGTTCATTTATTGCTAGGGTATGAGTGGGACACTTTCTGTAGAAGTTTGACAGAGCATATGACGTAAATTAAATCTTATTTTTTCTAAATAAGGTCCCTTTTTGGAAAAGACCCTTGCTACATATATAGTCTGTCAGAATGTGTTGCAAATGACTTGGAAAGATGATAGACTACGAACACAGAAACAGAACAGCAGGTGTTAAAAAGAAACCTTTTGCCAGTGAAATGGAGACTGCAAAAATTGTCATTGAGATGCACAATCCAGCTTTCAGGAAAATTTATCAGAGCGTACCAGTCACCATATGTCAGTATTACTATGCCAATTTATACCAGTTAAAACTACATCTAAAGGTGAAATACATGCTGTTGTAAAAAGCAATTATCCTATAGGCATTTTCCCATAATTTAGTTTGATCTACATGGAACCATTAAACCAAAAGATAAATTTGAAAATATTTGGATGTTATTTGTTCTAGGAGAAATTAAAATGGTGAGTACCAGGACCATCGTAACACCCTCTTAGCTGTAAGAGTAAGATCTTACCATAGAGACAACTTCCCTGAAAATCTAGCTGTAGGAGTTGGTTCTGTTTTCTTCCCATCATAACCTCAGTTTAGTGAAATACTTTTGGTAATTTTTAAAATACATATTCTGCAATATTATGTATAAGTTGAAATTTGGTGTCTTACCTAATACCCAGTTTTCTGATAAAGATATTATTTCCTGGTACTTCTTCCCTGGCTTTTTTCCTATACAGATTTTTGCCTGATGTAAGTCTTTACATATTTTCCCTCCTGACAGCTGTATAAGTTCAATTAACTTTTTGCAGGATGGCCGACTGGTAGGAGATACAAACATGACAGGCTGGTTTGAAAAGAGAGTCTGCTGGTATTTTCCTGTTGATAGATGACGCTGAAGCCTGCAGATCTGTATTTGAAGAAACAAAAAAATTAATTAACCCATGTGTTACATTTCCACTCATAGTAAGACTAATCCTTGTTTTTCATAATTCAGAAAAAAGGAGAAATATATTAGATTTATTATTAGAAATTATTGAAAAACTTTACTTTGTAAAGTGTATCAGAAATAAGAATTTCTGATATATAAAATATACAAAGAATTTTCTCTACTTCATCAATACAATTTCCAAACCAGAGTTTGAGATTATTTCACTATAGGTCAGACATTTACCTATAAAACTTCTTAAAGCACTTGACAATATTATTTTTCATCATAGTTTTACATTCTTACATTTATAACACTGGCCATCACACAGAAATCTTAAAGGATATTATAAATGATTATAGTCTTGCAGCACAAATATAAACTGTGATAGCCTTTATAATATATAATGCTTGTTGGTTTGTACTGGGCAGTTTACAAACACACCTAACTCAGAGTTTAAACTACTTTAGGACCTCTTTTCTGCTCCTGTGCTCCACAGATACAAACTATATTTTAGGTGCGATGTATGAAGTGACACAAATGTACCAGCACTCAGAGAGAGCTATTTACTGTAAACCCTTTTGTGTCCACAAAACCAAGAGAAGTTCTTTGTGAATGCTGTGCAGCTTGTAACATTTGATCATTATAACAAAAACCTGCTTCACCTATCAGGCAAATTTTCTTCTCAGTATATACTTGGCAGAACAGTGTTGCAGCAATTAAAGCCATCTCCTTTAGCTATAATATGTGTAAAAGCATACAGCAAGTGCACACAACATGGTATGCAAAATAAAGTTTTCATACCAACATTAAAAAAACCCTTGTATTTCATAGTGTGAGGCTGCCACTGACCTGCCAGAGCAATGTATATAACAGTTCTGATTTTTTATCATTTGTCAAAGTTTGGAAAATTTATACTAAGACTGGAGTTAATTGCAATATGAGAACAAAAAGAAATGTTTCATATTATGTGAAGCTTGGAAATTTTTATACAGATGACAACATGAGTGTGGAGGAAATGTCATTTTGTATATATCTGGTTTATGTGAGACATCTGAATATGAAACTGTAGTGTGTGAGAAGGTTTAACTGGAACAGTGGAAAAAAATAGCTCTTGAGTGGATTCCTTCCACTCAACACACAAAGATGCTGTATGAAACTATAGGCCCTTAAGAATCTGATGTGATAATGAATGTGCTTGGCACATGTGCAGCCAAAGTAAGAATCTCCACATGATTTGCAGGGGTTTATAAAGGAAGCTAGAGGAAGATCCTGCAAAGTCTGAAACTCATGGTAACTATGAGGCTTCAGCTCAGTGGCTCTGTGTCACTGGCCTCTGCTGTTCTGGGACATGTCAACCCCTAGCAATCTCAAATTTTGAGATTTCCTCCATCAATAAATAATTTAGCTTTCTCAGATTGTTCATTCCTTGGTTGCTTTCCTGAGAATAAAATTAGGTTGATTCTTTGCTTTCTGAATTAATGAAGTTATAAAGACTGACTGCTATGGATGAAGCAGACCAAAAAGACTTAATCACAACCCAAGAAATACCCTGTATTTTATATTTCTTTGTAAACTTAGGTTTAGGAATGGTATGGCACACCTAATCCTGTCTCTTAGCTGCTAAATAATTCTGTTGATCACAGTATCATTGCAGAGTTCTACTGCAGACTTTGGAGGACATTGAATATATCTGATGGCCCTTCCTGCACTCAATGCCTTGCACTTGCAGATCTGGATTTGGACTCATTGGAGTATTGCCTACCTCCATCTGAGCAGAATGCTCTTCTAGGAGTGCCTGTCTTCTGGGCATCGTGGTGTCAACAAAATCAGAAAACTAATAATTGTACTTTTTAAATACATGGTATCAGCTTTGGAATTCTCTAAGAGCACCATTTGTGATGGGCCTTGTGAGGCTTAGAGGTTGTGATCACTGTCTTAAAAGGAGACTAGGTCAGGAACATAAACCACTTTGCAATCTGTGATGTACAGAGCAGTGTGATTTTGGTATTATTGGGACTGTAATCATTAATCTTAATTTAAAAGCTGTGCAATTGTGAAACTATGAAAGTAGTTGTTGTAAGCACTTTCAACAAATTAAAGTATGCACTATAGTGAAAAATAACACTCTATATCAACTCGTAACAGCCTCATGACAAATGCAATGCCATCTTAATTCATCTGGCACAGAGCTCTTTGGAATTGTTTATTGGCACAAATCAGATGCAACTGATAGAAAAAAGACAATTCCAAAAAGGGTACAGTGCTAGCTTATCTACAATAGATTAGATTTAACTAAAAAAGACAAAAGTCATACTGGTTTTATCAACCTGAAACTCCAAGATTTTAAAGATAAAAATTATTAGAATTGACAAGTTTTTATCTTAGGAAGGCAGTAGGACTTGTGTCAGATAGAAGACATCAAATATAAATTGTTTCAATCTGCTATTTCATGTATTTTAGAGAATATTATTTTAAAGGGCTAATTGTATTCCTGCTTCCTAAAAAAATCCCCTGAAAGAATTTATTTGCTGCCACTGTAATGAAAACTCATTTATATGATACATCTTCCTATAGAAACAGCTGTTGGATGAAATTAATATTAAGGAAAATGTGTACATAGCTAATCATAACATTAGGAAACCCAAATTTTAAGGACCTAACAGCACTCAGCTCGTGCCCACAATTAGCATGCTTTATTTGTGCATTCAGTACATATAGGAGCACCCAGAGAAGGGAAATGCTGTTGTGCTATAGAGCAGGTTTCCTTAAACTGCGTTTACAATTCTATCTGGGTTCATTACCAGTGCGTTTGAGAGGAGGCAGGGTAAGAACACAGCACATCCCGGTGCTAGGAACAAAGGAAAGGTTCAGCATGGACTGTCATCTCTGAATTTCCTTTGTCTGGATCACCACCACCAACACTTTCCCAATCAGCTGTGCCTGGATTTGCTGATCCACTCACAGGCCACAGAGAGGCAGGAATCACAGTGTGTTTACATTTAGAGGTCAGAGAGGAGTCTGGAAGGTTAACTTTGCTTTCTGGCCCACTGGCCTGAAAGTCACACTGCTGGCCAGCTGCTGAAGGGCAGCCAGCTGACCACACAGGCTTTGGTGGGGGGATGAGAGGGCACAATCAAGCTCTTACCCCTGAATTGACTCAGCTGCCTTTGCAACTTCAAAGCGTTTGCGGCACTCCAGGGGTGCTCCCAGACCTTTGAAACCATACCCATTTCACGCAAACTTTCACAAATAAATAAATAATTCCTTAGCAGAGACCAAGCCTGGGAAAATACCAGATCCCAAAAGCAGCTATTTCCACAAACTGTGGATCCATAAGTCAGTAGTTATGGTTACAATTGTGTTAGTGCCTATTAGACTGCACTGATTTTCATTTCCAATGGTATTCTTTAGCAGATGAACACTAAAACAAAGTGTTATTGATGCATCTATTTAATCATTTTGGTAAGATTCTAACCATGAACCTCATCCTTTCACTAGGATGAATGGCAGGAAGGCACCTTTTACATGCATACATTTCTCATAATTGTACCATTAATGTAGTTGCTTGTTTGAACCTAAGTTCTAAATGGAAAAAAAATTACTGCTGGCAGAAGTAAAATTTAAGGAGAATTCATGACAAACAACTAAAGCCTTTCTTTGTTATAAAATAAAACATATATAAAATAAAAAAATCACAAAAAACTTCAACTATTGTCCCTCCTGTGATTAATTTTCAATCCCCCCAAGCCAAAAGAGCATATAGTATAAAAACCTCTGAACTTCATAGTTTTGTCTAGGACTGTATGAAAATACCTCCTGCTGGGCGAGGTGCCCGAACAAACACAAAACTCCATAAACTCCATAGGAGACAGCTCTCAAGTGCCACAAGGTATTATCTCTGAATAATACCTAAATTCATGTAATATGTAAGAAAATAAATGTTTTGAATGTACTTGGAAATTTTAAAGCACTGAAATTGCTAATTTCCTATATACAGCACTCAATTTTCAGTGTTCAACTTCCAGAAAATAGCACATGAAGAAATGTCCAGTCTAAATTGCTATTAGAATAATAATACTTCACAAAAATGAAATTAAGAGTATGTTTATGATTTATTAAAATTATAAGAAATTGTATTTGTAGCCTAGAATTGATAATGTGAAGTACTAGCTTCAATAATATATATAATGTAGCCATTTTTAATGACTACACGTCTGAAAATTTGTGCATGCACAATCAATGTATGCATTATTAATCTTCATTCTTAATTTCAATTATTTACTAGAGATAAATAAATCTACAAAAGACCCAATTTGATTTATTTTACAATTAATATTTGAGCATTTAATATAGCATTTATGAAAACATGGAAAGCTGTAATGTCTTGGTTATTGTTACTTGCAAAAATAATTAATATATCCTATTAAACGCAAACAGCAGAAAATTAAATTGCAGACACAGCTTTTAAGAGAGAAGATTGTATATTTTATGATTTATATCAATCCAGACTATTATTACATTTGAAATTGATGAGAAATTGCTCCATAAAAAGAAAACTGACTGCTGAAGTGTTAAGGATTAGTTCACTACTCTGCAAATATTAAATGACAAAACCCCTACAAAATTGATGAACCCCAAACCCCACAGGCTTTATGCTTTGGTAATGTACAAATTTAGCAGTAAAAGATGTATAGAATAGCATATAAATTTAATATAGTTTAGTGGTGTTGCTGGGGAAATATAAGCTCTAAATTTTAATATTCATATTATTTCAGTATGGATCAATATAGTGTCTAAGTGATTACATTTTCAGTTGCTATAATTCTTTATGAAGCCCTTGTGAGGAATGAAATAGAAATGATAATCTCTCTTATGAATCATTACACTTGCATGGTGATATGCATATTCGGACAGTCTGTCATTTAGTAAAAATTTAGAAGAAAAACACATATGTGGAGCCCCATGTATATGTAGAGATC